GTCAACTTTGACAACTTTGCAGGCAAGATGATCATACCATCGAAATCACTACTATCTTTGCTTTGCTAGATGCTCGCTCTTTTGCTATGCCTATGCTACGATGCCTACCACTTGCTTATCCTTCCTCCCAAATTGCCATGTCAAACCTCTAACCCACCATGTCCTAGCAAACCGTTGACTGGCTATATTACCGCTTTGCTTAGCCCCTCTTATAGCGTTGCTAGTTGCAGGTGAAGATTGGAGACCGTCCCTTGTTGGAGCATTATTTACTTTTTGGGATATCATTATATTGCCATGTTATCTTAATGCATCTATATATTTGGTAAAGGGTGGAAGGCTCGGCCTCTCGCCTAGTGTTTTGTTCCACTCTTGCCGCCCTAGTTTCCGTCATATCGGTGTTATGTTCCCGGATTTTGCGTTTCTTACGCGGTTGGGTGATAATGGGAACCCCTTGATAGTTCGCCTTGATTAAAGCTTTTCCAGCAATGCCCAATCTTGGTTTTACCATTTGCCACCTAGCCTCTTTTTCCCTTGGGTTTCCGGAGCCCGAGGGTCATCTTATGTTAAACCCCCCCGGGCCAGTGCTCCTCTGAGTGTTGGTCCAAACAGAGCCACTTGTAGCGCCACCTCGGGGCAACTCGAGGGTTGGTTTTAGTTGTATGTAGTGTTCATCTGAGTGTGCCCGGAGAACGAGATATGTGCAGCTCCTATCGGGATTTGTCGGCACATTCGGGCCGTGTTGCTGGATTTGTTTTAACCTGTCGAAGTGTCTTGTAGAACCGGGATACTGAGTCTGATCGGAATGTCTCGGGAGAAGGTCTATTCCTTCGTTGATAGTGAGAGCTTGTCATGGGCTAAGTTGGGACTCCCCTGCAGGGATTTGAACTTATGAAAGCCGTGCCCGCGGTTATGGGCAGATGGGAATTTGTTAATGTCCGGTTGTAGATAACTTGAACCTTAACTTAATTAAAATGAATCAACTGTGTGAGTTGCCGTGATGGTCTCTTCTCGGTGGAGTCCGGGAAGTGAACACGGTGTTGGAGTAATGCTTGCCGCAGGAAGCCCTCTAGTTACTCGTTCGCGCTTTGCCTCCTCTTCTCGCTCTCTTTTGCGAACAGGTTAGCCACCATATATGCTAGTCGCTTGCTGCAGCTCCACATATACTTACCTTGCCTTACCTATAAGCTTAAATAGTCTTGATCGCGAGGGTGCTAGATTGCTGAGTCCCTGTGGCTCACAGATTACTTCCAAACCAGATGCAGGGCCTGATGATTCCGTTCCAGATGACGCGCTTGAGCTCAAGTGGGAGTTCGACGAGGACTCACGCTGTTACTATGTGTCTTTCCCTAATGATCAGTAGTGGTGCCCAGTTGGGGTGATCGGGACCGTGTCGCATGTTGGGTTTATCTTTCATTTTGGCGCCGTAGTCGGGCCATGAGTGTTTGATTGTTGTAATGCTATTTATGTACTTTGATTGACGTGGCGAGTGTAAGCCAACTATGTATCTCCCCTTTTATTATCTATATTACATGGGATGTTGTGAAGATTGCCTAACTTGCGACATTGCTTTCAATGCGGTTATGCCTCTAAGTCGTGCCTCGACACGTGGGAGCTATAGCCGCATCGAGGGCGTTACACGCAGTGAAACTCCACGATGATTTTTTATGGGCCAGGAGACATCCTTTGGGCCAGAGAAGCACCTGGGGGTGCCCTGAGGGCTTGAGGAGTTCTCGGGACTCTTCTGGCCCCCTCTCCAAACTCCTTGGATGTCTTCTGGTCCAAGAAAAATCATCGCGAAAGTTTTATTTCGTTTGAACTCCGTTTGATATTCCTTTTCTGTAAAACTCAAAAACAAGGAAAAAAAACTGGCACTAGGCTCTAGGTTAATAAGTTAATCCCCAAAATAATGCAAAATAGCATAGTAATGCATATAAAACATCCAAAATAGATAATATAATAGCATGGAACAATAAAAAATTATAGATACGCTGAAGACGTATCAACTGTATGCTATGTGTTCGAGAGAGAAGCCTCTAGTGAAAACTATGACCCACCGGGGTCTACTCTATCATATTATAAAAACAAATAATATCTTGCTGCAATTTATTTACTTTTATTTTATTTTGCAATATATCTATCTACCTATACAAGGTTTGATCCTTGCAAGTAACGAGTTCAAGGAGATTGACAACCCTCTTTCCCCCGTTAAGTGCAAGTGTTTGCTTTTGTGTGTCCAGTTGATGTTCACAAGGGTTTGTGTGATTCTCCTATTGGTTTGATAAACCTTGGTTCTCACCGAGGGAAATACTTATTTCTACTGTACTGCTCCACCCTTCCTCTTCGGGGAAAATCTCAACGCAACTCACAAGTAGTAGGCATCACGGGTGGTGCATGCCTCCTCCTGTTGATGGCAATGGTGGATCGACATGAACACAAGAGGGTCGTGGTGGAAATCGGGGCAGCTCACGGGGGACCCCTCCTTGGCGGTCCATGGGGAAATAAGGTGTGAAGGAGAGAGGGCGCCATGGCGAAGGTGAGATAGGCGTCATCCAGTTTTAAAGGAGAGGGGTCCATGAAGAAATGTCCTATTATGGCGGGAAACCGAGTGGGAAAGGGAGGGTTCGATAGTAAAAATGAAGGGTGCGTCGTGTGGTGGGGTTTTGTGTTGGGACCACATGTTGGAGATAACATGAAAGATAGTCCGGAGAACCACATTTCTTCCTCACATAGGGCTAGATTAGGGGAAGTCCGGACTGCCTGGGTAGTTGAATTTTGGGAAGCTCGTTGGGCGTCCGTTTGATGTGCGACCACGTCCAGACATATGAAGGAGAAATGAGATTCACCTTGAAGAAGACCTTAACCATTTGTATCATACATTTATATGCGTTGTAGCCCGTAGCAAGACTCGGACATATGTAGGAGAAATGAGATTCAACCTTGAAAATGATCTTAACAATTCATTTGATTCATTTATATGCATGCATTGTAGTCCATAGCAACGCACAAATGTTCTACTAGTGGGGAAAGGTGAGGCGAACCGGCCTGGGAGGGGGTGGTGGGAGGTGAGGCAAAAATAGACCGACGAAAATAAACCTGGATACCGGGCTACCAAGCCCCCTTTAGGAGTAGAGATATATGTTCGGCTAGGTACCGCTTATGGGGATTTTATACTCACACGAGATTTGTTAGAGATGCTATTAGGTCATCTCCAAAGCGGACCCTCAACCGCCCATAACCGCCTAGACTGCGCGGTCCTAACGTGTTTGGCCATCCAACACGGATCTGTATTGGTCCGCCGAGCGGTCTGGAACTACTTTTTTCCTGTAAACCCGAGACAAACTGGGAGGCTTTGCGGGAGTCCGAACATCAATCACATAGGACTCCGACACCCCCAGCCCACCCAAACCCCCACCAAAACCACTCCTGGACCCCCCGCATCCATCCTCCCATTTTCTCTTCTTTCATCTTTCTCTCTTGCCTTCGCCGTTGCTCTACCACCCCGGCCGCCACGCCACACCCCTGCCGGCACTCGACGAGTCTGTCACCTTCAACGGTACAACCAGCTAGAAAGGATATTGAGAGGGCATTTGAAGTTCTGTTGGCATGTATTGCAGTTGTTCGTGGACCTTCTAAACAACGAGATTTGGAGACCTTGTGAGAGTTGATAACCTATTTGTGTGGTCACGCACAACATGATCATTGAGGATGAGGGTGAGGATGCTGTCACAACTCTTGCATTTGAGAATATGAGTGATCCTATCGAACTTCGAGATCAAAATCCTGCCACATTTATAGAGTTTGTTCAAATGCATCACAAATTCGGCATCGAGCAACTGAAGAAAGATTTAATTGAATATCCGTGGACGGTTAGAGGGTACAACAATGTTGGAGTGTAATATTTGATTTTTTTAAATTAGAACTACAGGTGCATTTGAACATTTGAACCATGCTAGACTATATATGCGGCTATTTGAATGTGCAGACTTAAAAAAGATTGGGACCCGATGTATACATATAGCGTTGGATGGCTGGCTCATGCATTCGTGTCCGCGAACTGGCCCTGTGTCCATGTATGGATGCGGGAGGAAATTTGAAATCAACATTGGAGACACGGGAAAATATCAGGTGATACCGAGAGACCTTGGATCTGAGATCCAACGGCCACTGACCAAGCTTCTAGATTTGTGTGTAAAAATGAGATTTTGAAGGTTTTTTTTTGTTGCGAACTTGCAGACCTTATGCAATCATTGGGCTCTCAGGAGTCCGTATCATGGATGGGAGCACACAGGGCGTACCACCTAGCACCTAATACTTTCCCTCCAACGCCCACTGACCAAAATTTCTAGACTTGCGTGTAAATATCAGATTTTGGAGGGGTTTTTGCAAACTTGCAGAAGCTCAACCATTGGATCTCAGATCAAGGGCTCTCGGGAGTCCGTATCATGGGAGCACGGGGAGGCCCGAGTTGCTTTCCGACCCTTCCCTACTCGCCCATTTCCCGACGCGCCCGAGTCACCCCGAGCGCAGCCGCAGCCGCAGCCTCGCGTCCGCCCCTTCCGCCACCCCGACGAGCTCCGTCGCCTCCTCTCCTCCTGGTCCAACCCCCCAGCGCCTTCTTCTCCAACGGGGCGAGCTCGACGACCAGAGCCACCACCCCCGTCGCTTCCGTCTAGGAACGGGACGAGCCGGCGCCGCTCTGCTGCCTCCTCTCCTGCTCCAGAGCTGCAGCGACCGAGGCGAGCCGACTACATCAGCTGCCTTCCGATTTAAGGCGGCGGCGACGACGTGTACGACGGGGGCGACTGGAGCGTGCACCGCGACCTGCAGGTAAGCTCGGACTCGCCTCCTCTGCTCCCCGCGTTTCGTTTCCTTAGATGCCGAACCAGGTTAATTGATTATCGGGATGCAGACCCTAGATTCCTCGTTGGAGGCTAAGAATCCTCCCTCTCCCTTCTCGTTCGCGGCTGGTGTCATGGAAGCTTTGATAATATCCGCGCGCGATGGACATATGGCACTGGAGTATTTGACAAAAAACTACCACATTAGGGGTTGCCGTCCCACAGAACTACCACATTCAAAAAAGTGACTGATAAGTACCAAAATTTTTTAATTTTGTGACTAAAAACTACCACTTTTGATAAATGACCGGTTTAGACGATTTAAACACGTTTATGACATGCAGGACCCACCCGTCAAGGGTGATGTGGCGGCACGGTCAACTCTGTTTAGTTTGACCGTTAAGTTGACCGTTATGACAGGTGGGGCCCACAGCCGTTCTTCTTCCTCCTCTCTGTATCTTCCTTTGGCATTTTACCAAACACCTCCTGTGCATCATCCTATGCTGCTTTCAGTGGGCGCCCAGTCGCCCCCTCATGCTCCGGTGGCCTTTGCCGCCCTGCACTCCGGTGGCCTTCCATGCCAGAGGGTGCCGGAGGAGAAGCCCGCGCAGCCGCACGCGAAGCCGAGGTGCTGCGAGCTCTAGGCCCTGCTGCTGCCGCCCTCGCCGGCCTCCCTTCGAGCTGGAGCTCGTGGTCAGCGGCAAGGAGCAGTAGCAGCGGCTGCAAGCAACAGCACCACGGGCCTCGCTCGCCTCGACGTGCACGCCGAGCTCCTGCTCATCCCCTTGCCGCCGAGCCGCAGGCCGCACTCCGGCGCCGAGGCGGCAACAGGCTCGCATTCGCGGTTCGGTCCCTGCGTCGCGCCGAGAAGGACCTGGCCCACCTCTCCGCCTCTGTGCACGCCACGGTCAAGTTCCCCATGCCCTCCGCGTCCAACAGCGCGGCGGAGGTCGAGGTGTCCGGGGTGCTCGCCAAGGCCGTGGCCACTACCATGTTTCGGCCGTCGAAGCCGTGTCCTTCACTGCCACCTCCAAAAAGACCACCGCAACATCCTCCAGCATAGGAGCAGTAGCAGCGGCCGCAAGCAGCAGCACCACAGCTCCGGCCTCCTCTCGCCTCCTGCGATGACCGCGGGTGAGCCAGAGCTCCGCAACACCCTCCTCCCCTTCCGCTGGAACGAGACATTGAGGCTCCCGCCCTCCACGAGGCTCGGCCACAGTGCGCGAGCACCAGCAGCGCGAGCACCACGACGAGCAGCTCCTGCAGCACGTGCGAGCACCTTGGTGAAGCACCTCAAGCAGGTGAGGCGCGCACCTCGCTGTCGTCCTGGGCGCGCGAGGATGTGGCGTCCTCTGGACCATCTTCCTCGGTCAGGAGCGACGGGGGCGTCTTCACGGCGGGCGCGTCACCGGAGTTGACCCGCTTCCCTCCCATGCACAGGAGGTGTTTGGTAAAATGCCAAAGGAAGATACGGAGAGGAGGAAGAAGAATACCATGTGGGCCCCACTTGTCATAACGCTCAACTTAACGGTCTAAATAAACAAGGTTGACCATGCCGCCACGTCACCCCTGACGGGTGGGTCCCGCATGTCATAAACGTGTTTAAATCGTCTAAACCGGTCATTTTTCAAATGTGGTAGTTTTTAGTCACAAAATTAGAATTTTTTGGTAGTTATCAGTCACTTTTTTGAATGTGGTAGTTCTGTGGGACGGTAACCCCTAATGTGGTAGTTTTTTGTCAAATACTCTATGGCACTGAAAGGTAGGCTCTAGTCTGATCTGACCCGACGCTTTCCTTTCCCGTGTTACCAACTGATTTTCCGTTTACGATGAAGATGTTATGGAACTTATTGAGAAGGAGGGGAATGATATGGTCGCCAGCTTTCGGGACAGCAAGAGTCGAACGTTGCTACACCTTGCAGCTCGCAAAGGCAAAGCGGATATCTGCTCATATCTAATTAGTGAAGTTGGCATCGATGTGAATGCTGCCTATGGTAAAGGTACTACTTAAATTTTTTATGCATGTGTAGCATGATTTCCTTTTTAAATAATTTTTGTTAGGTATTTTCTTAGTATATTATTAAATAATATATGTTCGTGAATAAACTAGGTTTGTATAATAAACTTGTAAACCCTCAGGTATATCTGATTGAACCCTTGCATGGATTAAACCCTTGTAGAAAGTAGCAACCGGAGAGTAAATTAAAGGGTGGTTTCCATATTCATATTCTATATTTAACTCCTTCCATTCATGCCTAAAAAATACCCTTTGGTTCAGTTACAGTACCACAATAGCATCAGAGTATAGAATTTTAAATCTGAAATCGGCCCATGCAGCACAGTTTGGTGGTGCAGTTCGTTTCGAGTATAATTGGAGATGGATAGAGTGTTATTGCAGTTTGATATGTGTCTAAACTGCAATTTGTACTGGTTTCACACCCATTGTACTTCTGGGTCATATATCACGATGTGCTTGATGTTCTTAGTAAAAACAGACAGTCATCTTCCTGAAATTGTAACAGCGTGTAATGTTAATTGCTGCACAAATTTCATCAAGTAGGAAAAGATTGGAAGACGGATACAATATGACAAAAGAAAACTAGTAGATGGATGCTATATCATTAAAATACTTCGTATGTGTAGCTTTCTTAATGATAGCATGCTATTTGATTGTCCTGTACATCTATCGTGTGATGGAATATAGGCGTTAGTTGTACCTAGTGTTTATATGTTGTTTACGTTATCTCTGAATAAATTTCAGGTCAAACAGCATTGAAGATAGCTACAGATAAAAGTCATATGGAAACTGTTGAATGCCTGCTCAACAACGCGGCCGATCCATCTGTCCTGAATATTGGGCCAACTATACTGTGTATGGCTGCAAAGTTTGGTAAGTGATACCTTGTTTTTTGTTTTCATTAAAATGGGAGTAATATAATGTTGTGTATGTTTCTTAATACAGGAAGATTAGGAATAATGAAGCTTCTACTTGACAAGGGAGTTAATGTTGATGCCAAAGGCTTTGAGGGTACTGCACTTGCGTGTGCTGCTAGGTGCAGACAAATATGTGCAGTCAAGTTTCTCATAGAACACGGTGCTAAGGTGAATTTTCATTATAATTTCCTCATGAAGGTTTATAGAACATGTAGCTATGACATCGATGATTTTGCAGGTGCAGCCAGAACCAGAGTTCAATTCCGTTCATGAAGTCACACCTCTATCTTGTGCTGTCTCCTTCGGTTCATTCGAGTGTTTTGATCTTTTATAGAGGTACACAATTAATCAAGCCCCTTTTGGGTTCATTATTGCTCTGTTTCTGTTTTGTGTTCATTTCAGCATGTAACATATTTGTATTTACTCAGTGAAACTTCTACATTTGTATTTACTTCTTAAACTAACTACATTTTCTGCAATATAGGCAGGCGCAGATCCTAAATTTATCAAGAATCCTCTACACGCTGCTGCTGCTAGTGGGAGCATCAAGCTAGTCGATTGGTTTCTAAAATATGGAGCTGACCCAGATTATTGTGATGTAATCAACGAACTTCAATTTTTCTTGAATAAACCTTCATATTTTTTACGTTTCTTTACAAATTGGAAAGAACACCTGTTGTATCCACACTAATCTGAGCGATACCTGTATTTGCCGGTTTAGCGATGCTATTGCTTCTTTTTCATACTAAAAAAACGTATAATCATTGAACTTTGTTTTTTTGCATTGTAGCTGCAACTATGAACCTTTTGTGCATCTTGATTATATTGTACACTCACATTTCGTTGAATTTTGCATGTTTCTTGTACTGCCAAGTAAAACTAAGTTTTGACTGTTTATTATCCTTTTCTTTCCTATAGCATGTCGATGGGTTGAAGCCAATACAAGTTGCCGCACAACGTAAACATGTTGATATTGTTGAGTTTCTTTTCCCATGGACCACAGAAATTTCAGATATTTTGAACTGGTCCGTGGCTGGTATTATTGAGACTTATGCTGAGAACAAGGTGCCAAGTGAACTTTATATTGATTATGCAGTATCATTATATGTTTATGAATTGAAATCTTTTATGCTATAATTCTCATGATAAGAATTCAATGCATTTTCAGCCGCTAGACGTTTCACATAAGGAAACCACTTTGAGAAGAATTTCATCGACTAAGGTGTGTTAAATTGATATGCATTTCAACATGTTAATGAATTTAATGTTGCAAGAATTCGCCATGTATATATCTGCATTCTTTATGATGTTCAGTAAATTGATCTGTAAAATTTTGTTTCAGATGAACGTGAGTATTCTGTCGGACTAAGAAATCAACCTTAAAATCAAGGCAATGGTACCAGAAACAGAGTATCAGTTCTTTTCCAAATGGTCAGCCGCAAAGAAGCGGCTGTTTTATGAGTCTACATTGTATGGACTGCCAGAACCGAATCGAATTTTCAATTATGATGTTGGAGAAATAAAGGTATAATCTTTGCCTTCTGAATGTGTAACTCTTAATTGCCTTGGTCCTTTACATCTTTGCTTCTCAATGTATTTAATTGCCTTAGCCCCTTACATCTTTGCAGAGCAGTGTCATTTTTGACATCACAAGTCCTAGTCCCACCAAGGTACAGGCGAGTTATTTGAGGGCAATAAGTGTTTATCGTTTTTGGCACTTTGCGGGGTCTGATACAGTTTATGAGCTTGGACCTGGTAGCAATAAAGTCACTGTTTCGAGAGCAGATGGGACATTTATATTTTGGTTCAGGAATAATAATAATGATGTTGGTGTAGTGATTGATGGTCAAAGTATTTGGATTTCGGGTTTCGTCCGAAGGAGTCGTAATGACGATGGAAGCTTTTCTTATAATCTTCCTATCCATTTCTCTGTTGGCATGATGAAGCAACCTTCAAACAATATATTGACAGCTGCTGGCAGATCAAAGACATTGACAGTCATGATGAAGCAAACTTTGAAAAATATATTATTGCCTCTGATTTGATGTTATCAAATTTAGGTGGTTCGTACGATGGTGGTGTTTCAGGGCTAAAGCTAAAAATACACGCGCTTCGTGCTGCTGTTAATGCTATTAGTACTCACGAAGAGAACATGTCTTTTAAGGACACCTGCCATGCCATGTTGCGTCTGATATGCTTATTTTGTATTCCACTGAGGCTGGAAAGAACGATTGGATATTTCAGTACACCATGAAGTCCCTGGAGAGGAAGCAGGTGGATGCACCTATTTCAATACCCTCTTGTTTGGATGGAACGGTGACAAACCACAGACAAGTTTCTCATAGTGCTCTCAATGCCCTCGACACAATAACTGAGAAAAGATCTATAGGAACTGCTGCTGCTTGTAATGCTGATGTGCCTATTCCAGCACCTTGTTTGGATGGCAGTGTCACAAATCAGAGACAGGTATCTCATATTGCTCTGGATGCCCTTGATAAAGTAATTGAAAAAACAGCAATGGATACTTTTGCTGCCTCTAATGTTGCTGCTGCTGCTGCTGCCGATGATGATGATAATTATGAGGAGGAGGAGAAGGGGCAGGAGGATAAAGAAGGTGGAATCAGTTCATATAATGGCGATGTTTTTACTGCTGCTGCTGCTGATACATGTGTCAATGATGATGCTACTGCATATGATGATGAGAAGGGGCAGGAGGAGGAGAAGGAGAAGGGGCTGGAGGAGGAAGAGGATGGAACAAATTCATGCAACATTGGTCTTGCTGATGTTGAGGAGGAGGATGAGGAGGAGGAGAAGGGGCTGGAGCAGGAAGAGGGTAAAATCAATTCATGCAACACAGTGACGGGTCCTGCTAATGATGACATTGAGGAGGATGACAAGGTTAAGATTCGGGAAGAGGAGAAGAGACGGGAGGAGGAGGAGAAGGCATACGAGCTTGTGACTGGTGTGCCTTTCCGAAGATTATCCCAGTGCCTTGATGCCTATGTTATACTGCGAAGAAGAAAAGTTATCAAAACCAGGTTCTTTCTCCCGAACAAGAAATCTGAGTTCTTGGAGCAAGAAACTGCTGCAATAATGAAGCATAGTGATGAAAATGATGAGCACTTTAAAGAAAGATTACTCGAAGCAAATCTCAGAAGAGGAACGCTTTTCACTGTAGAAGAGCATGGAGGCATCGGGAAGTACAGAGGCAGAGTGTGGCCCATGCCACCAAGGCCATACTCCAAAAAGAAGGGCACGAAACTTCGGTAAGCGCATTTTGATAGGTTTGTACATTTTCTGATGTCCTTTTCACTTAATGATTACGATGTTTACCTTTTCAGGTGGTATTATTTAGAGCCTGAGTAGGATAGATAAGTATAATCTTTGAAGGTACCCACTTTTTGCTTACCTCCTATCGTTGACAGTTTTGCATCATGTGGTAACAATTCCAGCTTGTAAAATTAGTAACTGTTATGGGGATATTGTACTCTTTATACTGAATAGTGGTAGTGATCACCTGCTTTATCATGATCCATGACAAGGTAGCAGCGTAGTCACCACTTGAAGTTACTTATAATAATGAATAATCTGGACCTCTATTTTCGGTAGCCGCAAAATGTGAGGATATATAAGATGATTGCGTAGCCTTCGGTTTTTAGTTATTTAGTTTTCAGCATTCTGAGATTATTTTTGCTTGTGCATATTTATCCCCATGGTGTTTAACTAGTTGTGCAACTAGTCTAGTATTGTAGCTTGGGATTAACTCGACTCCACTAGCTGGTTGACTAGTCTAGTCTTTTGAGTCGAGCGATTCAAAATGGGCCCGCCGTTTTCTTAAAAATGTAATGAGGAGGAGGTCTAAGGCTGGCCCCTGAACCCTATTCTCTCCCCTGCACTCGCGCACGGTCATGCCTCCTCCTGGGTGTTTCTAACCTGAGCCTTGCAAGGCGGCCACTGGCATTACTGGTGGTTGCAACACCAGCTGTTGCTGCAACTTTCCACTAATCTTATCATCTGCTCTCCTTCCTCTTTTATCTCCTTCAAATCCTCTCCCTGCTGCTGTTGATTTGATTCGTATTGAACTCCCTTCCATCAATATCATGCGAGCAAGGCGTGGGAAAGACAGACAGACTCACAGACAGAGGGACAGAGAGGAGAGAGGGGGAGGGAGGGAGGGAGAGAGCAGCATAGAGCAACAGCAGATCGGAGAGGTGAGGAACAGGCAGCACCAAAGGGAGGTAGCGCTGTGGCTCCGGGGTGCTAGTGGCTCTCGCAAAGGGAGGTGGCACGTGGTGGAGATGGAGATGGATAACTGGGTGGCGCACCACCACGCCAGAGGTTGGGGGAGAAGGAGATGTAGCCAGGTCCGATTTGCAATGGAGGTGCGGCTAGGGATTTTGATCCCCTTCCTGATCTGCCACTATTGCTCTTTGGCCCTTCTCCTTTTCTTCTTTCTTCGCAAGAAGGTCCAGTTATTTCTTTAGCTTGCCCCTGGTTACTTTTTTTCTTCTCAAAGTCCTTGACGCATTTCTTTCATGCCCTTGTCTCTTCTCGTTAACCACATAGTCGGAATCTTCACGATTTCTTCACAATGTCCATTTTCTTCTTTTGCTTTCCCTGGTTACTTCTTTTCTTCTCACTCAAGTCCTTGACGTATTTCTTCCATGCCCTTATCTCTTCCCGTTAGCCACATAGTCAGAATCTTGACGATTATAGTGCCTTTGCGCACGTTTCTGCAAAAGCAACAAACGACTAGCAAACGACGAAAGTGCTAGTCTGAGGGCGAGCACACCTGCTCGCTTTATCATCCCCGCTCTCTCTCTCCTAGATTCGCACTCCCTCGTGTATTTTAGGACGTACAGGCAAGGCAGTCGTATATGGATTATATATATTCCCGAGTCATGGCCCACCTCTGCAGCGCAATCACTACGTCTCCGTCCGTCAAGTGCATCCCGGCCCAGATAAAAATCCCACGTCCTGTACGGGGACGCCGTATGCCCACCAAGCACATACGTGCCGGCATTTACTTCCATCGAATTGCCCTCAAAAATAAAAAATTCCATCGAACAACCGTTCCACTTGTTTCGCTTTTTTCTCCTCCGCCCTTCTCCATTTCCATTCTGTCTCACTCTCTGCTCCTCTCCCAAACTCATCCCAAGCTTATCCTTCGCCAAAAACACTGCCAGGTTATGACAAGTTCAGTTAGATGTTCAGTTTTTGCATTTACATCTTTCTATCATTTCTGCATTTTCTCTTGTCATTCTATGCTTTAGATCTGCTCACTTGTTAATCTTTTTCAGTTGTCCAACTCTAGTTATTTCAACCCCATGACGC